GTCGCTGCGCCCACCAGAGCTGCCAACCGGGGCCGGGTGGACATCGTCGCCACAGTCTCATGGTGGCGTTCCTCGCCATCTTTGTCGTCTCTTGCGCGCCGTACATCGGTCTGATCCTGGTCGTCAAGAGTCTGACGTGCGTGCTGATGCCGCACGACCGTTTCCTGATCTGGACCCTGGTGATTGCGAGCGGGGGTGTCAAGGCCGTGCTCAACCCGCTGGTGTTCGTCGTCTTCAGCTGGGACTTCCGACAGGCGTTCCGTCAAACTTGTGTCAGGGTAGTAAGACGCCTGACCTCTCGACGTTAGGCCCCGGCCGCCGGATTGTCCTGACATCTCGACGTTAGGCCACCGGTCGCCGGATTATCCTGACATCCCGGCGTTAGGTCCCGGCTGTTGGATGTCCTGAGATCCTGACACTAGGCCACCGACCGCTGAATTGTTCTGGGCGTTATGACATTGGGCCAACCGACCGTGGATTGTCCTGAAATCCGACACCCAGCCCACGGCCACTGGACTGTCAGGTTGGCATCCTGGCTTGCGCCACCGACAGCTGGATTGTCTGACATCCTGACATTGGGCCACCGGCCGCTGGGTCGTCCTGACATCCCGACACTAGGCCGCTGGCCACTGGATTGTCCCGGACATCCCGACACTAGGCCGCTGGCCACTGGATGTCCTGACATCCCGATGCTAGGCCCGCTGGGCCACTGGATTGTCCTGACATCCCGACCCTAGGCCGCTGGCCACTGATTGTCCTGACATGACCCCCCATAGGCCGCTGGCCACAGGATTGTCCTGACATCCCGACATTAGGCCACCGGCCGCTGGAGTTGTCCTGATATTCCGTAATAGCCACCGGTCGCCGGATGTCCTGACATGTCGATACTAGGCCACCGGCCGCCGGATTGTCCTGATATTCCGATATGGGCCACGGTCGCCCGGATTGTCCTGATATTCCGATACTAGCCACTGGATTGTGCAACCGACCGTCGGATTGTCCTGACATCCAGACACTAGGCCGGCCTGGCCCCAGGATTCGTCCTGAGATCCTTGGTACTTAGTCACCGGCCACGGATTGTGCCACCGACCGTCGGATGTCCTGACATCCCGACACTAGGCCACCGGTCACTGGATGTCCTGACATCCGGCTCCCGGTGATAGTCTTGTCGGACTTGAACAATGTGTCGTGTTGTCTGATTACTGAGTCACATCCGCAGCTTCTCCCCCCCCCCCCCACGCACCGAAATATGTCTGCTTTCTTTGTTTTTGTGTATCGTACGCGCCGGTAATCGTACCACTTTAGCAGCAGTGGAATAGGCAGTGTATGCAAGGCTACTTCATAGGCTGCCCTCTCGGACGAAAAGGGAAAAGTTAAGTTGTGACTGCTATCCACAGCACCAGAATGATTTTGAAGCCTGTTATGATTGCGTGATTAGATGTTAACTTTGTCTTTACTCGTAACTAAAGTTAGTGAAGTGTTCACCGCATCACCTCACAACAAGTTTGTCAAGGGGAATTAACATCTGATGAGAAATTGCACGAGCAAACCAGCAATGCCTTACCATGCGAGTGCACGCAAGCAAGAGATCAATTCGTGTCTGCAATGCAGCGCAACGCTTACGGAGAAATGTAAATGCAAAAAGATAATATTTCCAACCAGCTTGTTTGTAATGAACACAGGAGCTCTCGGGATAATCACGCCACCAGACATAACGAAGAAAGTTGATGGCTATTCCCCCTTCAACATCGCCCATAGCTGGCCGCGAAAAGAACAGCCGTTGTGCGCCTGGAGTGCTGGATCATTGGAGTCCGCTCGTGTCATTGTGGTATCTGGATGAAAAAGCGAGCAGATGAACAACATATACAGTTAATGAGATACTGGAAGGTTGTAGTTTGCCATTATGATTTACCAAAGGACGGAATGCTCCGCACGTGATGATATTTGGAAGGCATCAAAAACCAGCTCAGAAACGTTCTTATAACCATATGCACATATAGGTCATATGCACCAGCACTGCAAGAGTCAAAATCATGGCCAAGTAATGAAGTGGCCTACGTCCGTACAGAAATGTGCCTAGGGCATAAGAAGGATATGGGCTGGATCGATTAAACAAGCTAGGTTCCACATCTGGCCCACAGCACAGAAAAATAGTGTTGAAACTGTGCAAATGTATTTCGTGAACGCTACTTGATTGGCACAAGTAGTCTCTTACTAACTTTTGGTTTGTTTGTTTTTTTACTTTTTTTTCTTTTTTTGTTTGAAAAATTGGACTAACAGCGCGTTTCGCGATTGGAGAGCGTGAGAGAAGTTTTGCATCAGACCCACCGTGAGGATGTATCGCAAAATCTCCTCCAATTCATCGATGGCTTCCACGCACTTTTTGACTTACCATGACACAAACCGACTGCTCTCCGACACAAAACATCCTGGTCTTCGACCTACAGTGCTAACATGGAAACAAAAAGATTCACACATGGCATGCTTATACATTAAACCTATTGTGGCACCGAGCTTCCGACCGTTGTCATCAGCGCAAGCCATGAATATAAAAAGACAAGCTACATGCCGCTAGTGACCCTGCGCCAAACGTCTATGATTGGACATTGGCAACGTACGGGAATACATTGCATCCAGACATGTGTCAACCGAGGAAGGTACCGGGTCAGGTCCAGTTTCACGTTCAAATCTACCTAGCTGCAGATGAAGCAATCAAAACGTTGAATACCGGTACCACCACCCGATGTCTCCGCCATCCAACTCCAGACGCAGCAAGCAAGACATTTGATACCGGTACCATGGCCCCTATGTCTCCGCCATCCAACTCCAGACAAAGCAAGCAAGACGTTGAATACCGGTACCACCACCCCTATGTCTCCGCCATCCAACTCCAGACAAAGCAAGCAAGACGCTTGACGCCGGTACTGTCACCTCTGCTTCTCCACCACTCATCGACAGCACCTGGTGCTCCTTCATCAGATGATCAGTAGCACCAACGCCGCAGCAAAACCCAGCTAACAGCGGAATGCATGGCCTCACGGAGTGGCTAACTCCGTCAGGTGCTGAGACTCGTCAGCTCTCGAACACCTGCCCGGCCTGGTGGCCAGCAAGAAGCGCAGCATTTGCCGAAGAGGACTGCTATGCCGATGCCACGCAGCACGTAAGTAAATGAAACAAAATGTAATTGCTGCCAGGATGCCTAGTCCAATAACATCGGTGAAATAAAACGATTT